AATTCCCATGGTTGGCTGGGGAATTCTGGGAGTTGAAGTCCACACATCTTCAAGCTGCCAAGGTTGAGAAATGCTGCTTTAGACACTGCTGACCCCATGAAGCACGGGGGTGCTGACGGTAGGCCATGGCAGACCTTGGGGGCCTTGTGCATGAGAGACCGCAGCCCAGAGCTTCCTTGCTGGAAGCTTTCCCTTGTTCCGGCTGAGCACTGCTTACAAACCACAAACGGAATCGCACCAAGCCCTCGGTTCTGCACGCTGGTGTGGGGCGCCCGTGTCCGGGCCCCTTTCAACGCATTACATAACCTCTGTGTTCCAGGCCTGCCCAAGGTCAGAGGGGTGATGCGGGCCCGGCAAAACCAGAGCGCTTACTCGGCCGAGAGCCACGGGGTTTGGCACGTGGTGTTTTGCTGTATAAACAAGCTTGTGCATGTGATGCCGAAAGGCGTGCCTCTGCACTGAAGAGGGCTGGGGCAAAAGCAAAGTGTCAAAACCCTCAAGGAAGCGAAAATGTAACCAGCTGCAGGGAAGGAGAAGAGCCCTAAGAAAGAAAACGGTAAGGGCCCAGGGGCCCCTTTAGAGCCAGCCAGGCTTCACGGTTATACAAAGCCAAACAGCAGCTCACCAAGATCGTAACAATAAACACAAGAGTGTAACACGCCCAGAAACCGAGGGGTGCACTGTGGTTGTTGCTGCCTCTCATGCTCTAGGGGCATTGCGTGCCCGCAAGTGCTGCTAGGGGCATTGCGTGCCCATTAGTGCTGGTACAGTATAATACAAACCCCAATGTCCTCTCACGCTCTAGGGGCATTGCGTGCCCGCAAGCGCTGGTATAATATAACACAGATGTCCTGACACCCTAATTTGGCAGCTGCTCCTGGGCCCCCAGAGCAAAGGCAGCTGATCCATCTTTCTTGCTCCACCAGGCTCCACTTTAGCCTCGGCAGCACTAATGCATACTTTCAACAAGTTTTCTCTGGCATTTTGCATTTATGTCGATTTCCCTGTCTTTCAACAGTGGGTGGGGAGTCATTTCAGTCAGCCTCCTAAGACCTGTCGCTCGCAGCCCACAGCCTAAAGGGGTCCCTTCTCTGAGGGCGGCCATCTCCTTTCGGGACCAGGAAGGCCCCCGCGCTGGCAGAGACCCTTCCCCGCTCCGGGACCCTCCGGCGGAGGCTACCAGGCGAGGAGGCGCCCGGCCGTGCGCGGGATGGCCCGCCTTTCATCCGGCGCGCCTTCGCCCCGCAGCCCCTCCGGAGATTCTCCCACGAGCTCCCCCCCTCCGCCCCCAGGCTGAGCGTCAAATGGCG